CGCAAGCGGGCCTGTGAGCAGATGGCGTCAACGCATGCCAGGCCGGCGCCGGCAAGCCTCACCGACGAGGAGGCCACCAAGAAGCTCAAGACGGCCAAGCCACAGCATCGGCAGCAGCAGCGGCATCGGCCAAGGCTTCGGGCTCAAAGTCTGCAGGGCCTACGGGGTCGCCCGTACCGCACCGCCACCATCAATGGGAGCGGTTGGCCACAGGTCATGTCGGCCAGCAGACCCGCGCGCGCAGGAGGTCCAGTTGTGCATTGAGCAGGCCATTGCCCAGGCTAGCCAGCGGCGCCAGCGAGAACTGGCATGAAGTATTTCAGGCATGCACATGCAACTCCGCGGACACCCCGTCGGCTGGAGTCTGTTGTTTGCTTAAAAGCAGTTCTGATTTGGACGTTCAGGATATGCGGATCTCCCGCCAAGAACAAGTCGGTCGCGCCGTTCCAAGGTCGAGGGCAGCAAACACGCAAGCACATCATCAAGAGTAAGGTACTTCCTATGGCAGGCACGTCGGATAATGTCACGAAGTGCTTAGGCGCACTTGTACGGCACGACAGCAAGTTCAATGGTGGATGACAAGCACGATTGGATGCTTCTACTGTTGGTTATTGGTCTATGGGCAAGTACTAGTCCACTCCCAAGATACCGCATATTGACAACAAATATTGTTGAATATATGCGTGTGAAATATTTTTCAAAATTAAGAGACAAAGAAAGGTGGAACAAAAACAATTATATATATATATATTTTTTTTTTTAAAAAAAAAAAAAAAAAAAAAAAAAAAAAAAAAAAAAAAAAAAAAAAAAAAAAAAAAAAAAAAAAAAGTCGTGGGCCCCGCGGTTTCAGCTTTCGGGGCCTTCCCCCCCCATCCCTACGCAGCTCCTGAGGCTCCAGCATACAATAGTGGAGTTCGGTCGACGCGCACTTCGAGGAGCGGCCACGGAGTGGGCATCATGAGCACCATCGTCCCATCCTTGCCCTGCGCGCGCTACAGCTCTGGCGCGTTGCGCCGTTGGAGACGGAGCTTCGAGCTCCCAGGCTGAAGTGGTACCAGAAGCGGGTGCAGCAGCCTCACCTCCACGCAGCTGACTGGGGCGCGCTCTTTTTTGCTGTTCGTGCTGAGCATGTAAGAGGCATCCAGATCATCGGCTCTGCAGGTAGGCTTCTCCCCCATGCGTCACCATGGGCGCGTAGGTTTGCTGGGGAGGGAACAGTCGAACCAAATCGACGACTTTGATTCCAGACCCCTGGCGCTTTCAAATGATCACGATCTTTCGGACTGGTTCGGCATACTTGATACGAATCAACTCCGGGCGGCATCCTGGGCAGCAAGTGCCCCCCCCCCCCCCCCCCTTGGCCCCAGGCTCCCGATGCCCCTCCAGATCTCCAACGAGAGCCTCGAGATGATGAAGACGATGATGAGCAACGCGCGTTGCATTGCAGGATGTCGACGCAAATCCGCCACGCAACGGCAACGCACGAGTCATCTACAGCAAGGGCACGGGCTACAGAGCACCTTGGGGCTTCTAACTACGGACAACCAATGCTTCGTCTGCGGGCAGATTTTCGGGGCCAGAGACTCGGCCTACAAGCGTGTTACCACATCGTTCCGCACGAGTAGATGTGCCACGGGCAGACCCAACGCGCATCGGACAGCTTGCGAAGGAGATCATACGATACATATATGTATATATGTATATATATACATATATACACATACATATAAATATATATATATGCGGGCTCTGCAACACGTCTGGGCTCGAGCGCGATGCGCGACATCAGCATTACCGCGAACACTCCACGCTTCCTCCGATTTTCGGCCATGCCCGACGCCCAGCCAGCGACGCCCCCCGCGGGCGCGCCGGCAGCCTGGGCGACGGCGGCTGCAGGGAGTGCGACGCAGGAGCCCCATATGCCGAAAGGAAGGGGCCTCGTTCTCGGCAGACCTCGCGACAAAGATGGCGAGCCAGCGTCTAAGAGTCCTCGCGAGGCGCGGCTGGACAAGCTCAAGACGGACACTCAGAAGACCATTGAGGCCACCCAGCTCGGCCCCTCGAAGGCGCTGGCGCGCGTCTTGGCCAGGCTCTACATGGCCAGCTCGCGCGACGTGGCCGAACTTATCGGTGCTTCGTCCAGTTGTGCGCTGCTTTCCGTTGCCCGCATGCTTGCCCAGCCATTCCAATATGCGGGCAACGCGTGCGCGACCGCATGCAAGGCGAGGGGGGCGGGGCGCGGCCCGGGCCCCCCGTGGCCCCGCACGTGGGCGGCATTGATCAGAGCATTCTTCATCGACACAGGCGCCCCGGAGAAGGCGAAGGGATGCGAGCGTCGGCCACGCCGACAGCAGTTTGACGGCGAGGATCAGGCGAGGCACTGTCGCATGAGGCCCACGTACTACAAAAAAAGAGACAGGAGACACCCATCGACATTCCAGCATCAGTTTATGCTGTCGGCCGGAGCACAGACGGAGACGGCGAGCTGGAACGGGGGGAACCGTAGGCAGCGCGCACAAAGCGGTGCGTCAGAGCCCCCTTGCCGTCGGCGGCGCGCACAAGGCAGGAGGCCCTCCCAAGGGGGGGTTCGAGAGGAAGGCGGAGCGTCTCCTCAGCAAGACCGGCGTGAAGAAGAGCCCACACGAGGAATTGAGCGAGGACGAGGAGGAGGAGGAGCTAACCTTGTTACCATCAGAAGATCAGCCCGAATGGTTGAGATGGCCCGTGACGGTCGGCTTCGGCACTCAGGATTGACTGCATTGCAGAACCGCTCTGTGGATCCTATTGTACGCTTTCAGACGTCGGCAGGCCAGGAGTTCACAGTATTCAACTCGGGCCAGCTCCACCTTTCCATGTCTCTACTGGACCATGCCAGGCGAGCCCCCCATGTCCGAGCCACGCACGCGAGAGTGGACCCTCAGGTTACAATGGCAGCGTCCGACGATCCCGCGCACCATCGGCTCGTGAGTGTCCGTGTGCGTCCAGAGTTGTATCAGCTGCCTTCAAGCATTGAGCGATGACGAAAGGACTCCCAGCCCCCAGCCATGAGCTGGGACTGTGCGGGCACACTAGGGCCACGTTTCTTTCCCAGCCTGTTTTCTGCGTGCGCGATTGTATCCTACTTACGTGCGCGCACGTTCTGTCATTTCTGTCGTACACTTCTTGCCTGTTCTTTCATATGACACATGCAGGTGACCTCTCGACGTCGCCTGTACGCTCAGCTGCGGAGCGGTGCCCAGCCGGGGCCTCCAGGCTCCCCCTATCGGAGGCTTTCGGATTGGGCCTGAGGCATCCCCCTGCAGGGTGATCTCGACAGTCGCTCACAGTGAAGCGAACACAGACCCAGCTGCTGCACTTCAAGGCCCCGCGTTCTTTGTTTTGTAATGTCATTGCGTTGCCCAGTTAGACAACCAGTCAGGTAGTCAGTCCTCGTTCTCCTCCTCCTCCTTCTTCTCCTCCTGCTCCTCCACCTCATCCACCTCCTCTTCCCCCTCTTCTCCTCCTCCTCCTCCTCCTCCTCCTCTCCTCCTCCTCCTCCTCCTCCTCCTCCTCCTCCTCCTCCTCCCCCCCTTTTCCTCTTCCTCCTCCTCCTCCTCCTCCTCCTCCTCCTCCTCCTCCTCCTACTCCTACTCCTACTCCTACTCCTACTCCTACTCCTACTCCTACTCCCCCCACTCCTCCTACTCCTCCTACTCCTCCTCGTCTCTCCTGCTCGTCTTCTCGTTTTCCATTATTCACACTCCTATTCCTGCCCCGCCAGGAAGTCAGACACGCTCGCGCCGCGAAGAAAAACGGCGGTGCGCTGTCCATTGCATCGCATGTTTGGGACCGCGCGCATGCATTTTAAAAGAACGCAGGAGGTTCACTGACGGGGCGCGGATCGTTTTCAGAATGTGCTTCACGCCTTGGCGCCGCGCTCATTCGTCTCAAAAGTTTGCAACATCTTCACGGATGGAGGGCGGGTCGTTTTCAAAAAGCGTACGTCGCCGTAGCGCCAAGCACATTCGTTTGAACTGTTTTCAAAATGTGGTTATCGCCCTGCCGCCGAGCACATTCGTCTCGAAAGTTTGCAAAAGCTTCGCGGATGGAAGACGGGTCGTTTGCAAAATGCGCATTCCCATACTTGGCGCCACGCATATTCAATATTGCAGAATGGAGCTCACTTTGGCGCGGCGCATACTCGTGTTCAAAATTTGCACGAGCTTCACGTTTGGAGGGCGGGTCGTTTTCAAGATTGGACTCGCATCGTCGTAGCGCCGTGTACATTCGCTTCACAGTTCCCGACAATTTCAAATATTTTCACGGCTGGCATCTCAGGGTTGGCTTTCTGGCACGAGTTTGGATTATCAGGCCGCATCAGTCGTGTTGATTCGCGGTGTTGGAGTTCTGGCGCGAATCAAAACAGCCAGGACGCATCACACATTCGGATTCGCAGCGCGGAAGTCCCAGGAATTGCGTTTCGGCACAATTGGGGGCTCTCAGACGGATGCCTTCCAACGTGTCATTTCCCGCGGATGAATAAATGCGTGCGTTGACCGATGAAGAGGGAATATGGACGGAGGGTGTATTGCAACATCGCTGATGCGCCTTAGGTTCATTCTGATCCTCCTCATCCTCGCATTTTTTTCACAGCGGGCGTTTGTCAATTTGTCACGCCCTGGGATCCTCACGGCGTGGCGTTGGATCTCAGTGTTCTAGGTGTTCGGATGATTTCGTCGGTCCCCGGTGGTTTTCCACCGTCGGGTTGCGTTCCAGCAGTTGCGCCTCGCCCAGAGGCGTCTGGGTGTGCTCGGAGTGCCCCGAACGGCCTTCAGAACCCCGAGCTATGAGCTACGGCCCGAAAACCAGACGACGAGCATCACTGGGGGGGATGCATCGCCCCCCAACCGCCCAGTGATCGCCGAGGGCTTATCGCCGATCTATCGGCGACGCATCGCCGAGTTCAGGTCGATGTTTCCCCCACCTCAGCTGGTCACTCCGCCGAACGTTGCCCCTCACAGGAAGAGGTCGGAGTGCTGCGACCTGTTCAGGACGATGAGCAGCGAGGGCAGCGCCCGGTACGCGGCCGCCGTGAGGCTGTGCGAGGAGGAGGAGCCCAGACAGGGCCGCATGCGATGCGTTGCGATTCGATTGGCCATTTGCCCAGCCACCCCTCTCGGGGCGGTCGGGCAGTGCTAGAGCCAGGATAAATCCGTTCCAGAGCGTTCCAGCACGCTCTCAGAGCCTTCCGGAACGCTCTGAGAAGGCCGCGACGCCCGATACATCCTCCAGAGCCGCCAGATCTCCGAGATTCTCTGTTGATCTTCACCAGATATTATCCGCGTCCTGGCTGCGTTTTACGTGGAAAAGCGCGACGGGCGGTTTTTGCCAGTTTCGGCCCCTTGGGCCCTGGCAAGGCCCCAGGACGGAGAAAAGACGAGTCGGGATGAGATGACAGGCCGGCCTTGGGAAAACGATCAGGATTTGTTTGAAACGCTGGGCTTGTTTCGGTTCGATTCACCGGCATCGTCCAGGGCGATTCGATTTCGATTTGATGTGGGACGATTCGTTCGAGGTCCTATATCGAAATTCGCGGTTCGATCCAGCTCAAGCTTGCCAGGTTGCCGACGTTGCGATTTTCGTTCGCAGCGTATTGGGATTAAGTCGTGCCTGTCCTTCTACAGGGGGGAAATTTGAAAATAGTCCCAAAATAGTATGGGGACGATGTTTTGAGTGTTTTTGAGCATTTTTGGGAGCTTTTTATTTGTCATCCAAAATCCGCCTGTTGGGAACGTCGGACCTCAAGCTTTCGCCTCGGCATGCTGTTGTTTGAGGTTATCTCGCCTCGGCATGCTCTCCAGCAGCTGCGCCTTGCCAGCGGGCGTCGTCGGGCGTGCCCGAACCATCCCGGACGGTCGCCCGAGGCACGAGTTATCATGGCTCTGACGCCACTCGAAGGATTCGGGTTCACCCAAATGGGGGTCCAGCGAGAAGGGGGTGGTGCAATAGATTTGTGGGGTTGTAGTACATTTGGGACGTGCAATGCATTCCGGGGCGCAGATGTATTGCTGGATTTTCGCGTGCCATACATTCTTTGCAATACAATGCAATAACATTATCCGGCGCAATACATTTGCAATACAATTACCCCAAATCTATTGCACCATCCCCCTTGTCAGATGGACCTTTTTTGGGGGCCACCCAAAAGGATCGGGGTTCGAGCATCGAGGATCGAGGCCTTTTCGGCCTCCAGATGGGCTTTTCGTCGCAAAGGCTGGACTCCCAGACATACGATGTCTCGATGTTTTCCATACGCGGTCCCTGGAAGTCCCGACCCTTTCCCCACAGCCAGCTTTTCATCCTGAGTCTTTCTGTTAGCGGTCCTGGGGCCCAGCGAGGGCCAATTGTCAATTGTTCTCTGCAGTACATGTGATCTCTGGGGTCGTCTCAAGGTCTTGGTCAGAGCGCACCACAGGAGAGGTCAGGGGGAGGGGGCTCGACTCGACCCGCGCAGCTCAGACTCCCTCTCTCCACCGCGGTGAGAAAGCCCACACGCAGGGCGTTGGTGACTTCAAGATTTTCGCCCGGCTTCTAGGTTCCGGTTTCAGGCCATACAGCGGTCCCTCACACAGATCGGCCCGGCACAAAAAATGCTGCAGAAAGGTAGGTTTTCGTTTCGGGCTGCGTACAGACAGCGCCCCCCCCAGGCAGTCCCGGCTGGCCTCAATTTGAGGCCCCCCGAGTGTGTAGTCCCAGTTGGTCTCGACAGGCCCCCCAAGAAGTAGTCCGGGGTGGTCTCAACACCCCGGCAGCGCTTCCGGCGGCGTCCATTGGGGCGCTCCGCGTTGCAGGGTTCTGAGGTGTTGAAGCCGCCCCAGACTAATCGGGGCCCTGTTGTGGCTGGCTGGCACGCTGGGACTACTCGGGCGGCCTGCCGAGGCCAGCTGGGACCACCTTGGGGCTGTCTGCGCGCAGCCCCAAGCCTCACGACCAGGGTTCCGGTTGCGTTTTTCACCATGCTGTTTGTGTCCGTGACGCCAGATCTCGGGGGGGCGGCGCCAGCGCAGATCGTTGCGTTAGCAGGCCAAGGGGGCTGGGCGGCCCTGGCGGCGGGCGTCGTCGCGAGTATAGTGTAGCCTCCCAGAGAGCTCTTTTCGTCCCGGGCCTCTTGTTGCTGTGGACGGGCCTGGGGCCGCGCGGGAGCCTCCAGAGGCCGAAGGGGGCCCAGAATGCTGGATCCCTTCTTTCTCCCCTCTCCCTTCAGGGGCGACGCTTAGCGTCGGCTTCCCTCTCCCTTCTTTCTCCCCCCTCCCTCTCCCTTCTTTCTTCCTTATTTCTCCCCTCTCCCTTTCCCTCCCCCTCTCCTCTTCTTTCCTCTCCCCTCTCCCTTCAGGGGGCGGGGGGGGGATAGACTCAGGGGGGAACGCAATCGGCCCCCCAAAATCGCTCACTCATTGCCGATAGGGGCCTGACAGCCCACCCCGCCAAGGAACCTCCAGGAGGGAAAAAAACACACAGACACCATGAATCGTCGAATCCCCAGAAGATATGGGAAAACATGGGGAAGTGAGGGGGAGACGAAAACCCAGAAAATATTGGAAAATATGGGGGATCCTGTTATTTGTGTGCATTGATTCCCTACCTAGGCTCTGCCTAGAAGGGTTCTTACCCTCTGTGCTTAAAGGGCCGGGCAGTGCTACCCGCCCCGGGCAGTTCCCCCAGTATCCGCCCCGCGGTTCCAGGGTTGCGTCCCCTTAGTTCAGCGTTGGCTTAGCTTATTTCATCTTGGCTTAGCTTAGCTTCATCTTAGCTCAGGTTTATCTTAGCTTAGCTTACCTTCATCTTAGTTTCGCCGAGCTTCAGCATAGCAGAGCACAGTATAGCATAGCGTAGCCTAGCATAGCGCAGCACTGCATATCATAGCATAGCCCAGCATAGCATAGCATAGCGCAGCATAGCATAGCATAGCAGAGCGCAGCAAAGCACGGCACAGCATAGTACAGCGCAGCATAGCATAGCAGAGCAGAGCATAACATAGCATAGCGCAGCATAGCATAGCATAGCATAGCGCAGCAAAGCATGGCATAGCATATCATAGCATAGCATAGCAACTAATGCTGCTTTCCTAGGGGCTCCAACTTCTAGGTAGGGTCGCACTGGGGTAATGTGAGTGTCCCAGGGCCCCTTCATCTTCGGCATCTCACCTTTCCAGGGGCGTGCGGGGTCTGCCTGGGGATCTCTACCCCGCTCCCAGTGCTGGCATTTCGCAGAGCAAAACGTGCCGTCGTGCTTCTTCTGCGACGCCCAGATCCCCAGACCCCCTCGTGTAGTGAAGCAAACAAGGCGGGAGGTGTTTGGCCGTTCTCGGCCTCCAGAGGCCCTCGCTGGGCCTGGGACAGTCGAGTCGACTCAGGATGAAACGCTGGTCCCGCGGAATAGATCGAGACCACGAGGAGTCGACGCTGTGAAAAGATCAGGACGTCGGGGGTCTGCATGGATCTGAAGATCCTCGTCCCCAGACATCCGCCGATGTGATGTTTTCGATCCGCGGGTCCAGCGGTCCCGACCCCTTCCCTGCGGGTACACGCTGGTCGTTGAAAGTAGGTTTTTTTGGATTCCCAGATCCCAATCTACCTCAAGCGCCTTTCTATTTCAAGAATCGACACGCTTTTGCTGTGTTGTGTTATTCTCTGGGGGGGGCTGGACGCAACCAACTTAATCCGCCTTCCTACTTGATGTTTTTACCCACTTCTTCCGACCGGCGTGTAGCTGTTCGTCCTAGATTTTGATGGCCCTGGGTTCTGGAAACAACTCCCCCACCAGGGCCGAAATCATGCGACAAAACGCCGGTCTGAAGCATCAGATCGCCAGAGATTTGTGGATCCTGAGGTCCGACGTGTCGTTTCTGGAAAATGCAGCACTGGTAGAAAATCACGACCGGAGAACGAGCACCCACATTTCTGCTGCATGTTTGGAGCCTGATCCGTCCGTGAGGGCTCTGGGCCCGAGACAAGGCAGACTCGCCCGTGGCTTTCACAGTCCCGGGGCCCAGCGAGGGCCCCCGGAAGCAGAAAAAACACAAAATCTCTGGAGGTGATCTCTATCACAGGTCTGGGAGTAGTAGTAGTAGGAGGAGGAGGAGGAGGAGGAGGGAGGAGGAGGATTGACGCCACAATCTCGAGAATTGCAGTCCGCTCAACGTCAAAAAGGAACAGACGCTACAATCCCGAGGATTGCAGTCCGCGCGACGTCAAAAAGGAGGAGGAGGAGAAGGAGGAGGAGACGAGACCTCGGGGACCCCACGATTGCATCGCCAGGGTCTCAGGTGGGCTTGACCCCCCCCCCCTCGCCCGCAGGAGGCGAGGAGATCTGCGGGCGCCCAGGAGGCGGCGGCGGACAACGCCACGGCGGCGGCGCACGCGCCAGCGGCGGCCGCCGCCGGGGCCGCGGCGGCGGCGGCGAGCGGCCCGCAGGGCGGCGCCGAGGGCGCCGCCTCGGCGGCGGCGGCCGGGGAGGGCTCCGCGGCGGAGGGCGCGGCGAGCGCGGCGGCCCGCGCGCGGGAGACCACCACTGCCGAGGCCCGTCGGCGCCAGCCCACAGCGGGCCGGACGAGAGGGGGGGGGATAGGGAAAGGGGGGGTTGCGAGATCTGCTGCATGCAGCTGGTGTCGGTCCCCCCGAGGGGCCCACTCCTCGATACATGGGGGCGCCAGGAGGCGCCGGGAAAATCAGCCACGTGGGCTGATTCTCCACCCCCCCCCCTGTTGCTATCCCCCCCTGTCGCCAGGCCCGACCGCGGCGCCCCGGAGGTCCCGTTGCCCTGCTCCGGGCCCCGGGGCCCGAAGCAGAGGGATCCGGCTGGAAGGAGGCCCACGGCGCGCCCCTGAGGTCCTGGCGTCGTATGCTTTTGCAGCGGTCGGTCGTGGCCCTGCTTCGGGCCCTATGGGGCCTGCGCGGATCGATCCGGCTGGAGAAGCGCAACAGAAAGACGGGGTCCAGGGCTCGGGTCGAGTTGACTCTTCCATTGCATGTTTTTCGTGACACCGGATTTCAAGGATAGGCCCCCCCCCCAAGTCTTGGCCTTGGGCGCTCGCAGTTGCCTTCCCCCGACCCCCCACACACACACCCTCGAGAGACCGCACGCCAAATCCTGACATCCGCCGATGTCTTTTCTTCCATCAGCGGCCCTGTGGGACCTGAGGGCCCTGTGGGGCGTGTGAGACTTCTGGGAGGTGTGGGACATGTGGGACCTGTGAAACCTGCGGGACGACCTGTGGGACCTGCGCGGCCTGTACGAACTGCGGGTCCGTGGCCGTCCGGCCCAAAAATGTAGTCATCACTGGGGCGAGAGCACGGTTCCTCAGTAAGTTGCGCAGAAGCCTCAGGCGAAGTTGCCGCCAGATCGCTGAGAACACGGCCATGTGTAGTTTAGTTTATCTAAGACGCCTACGGCGTGTCACCGCCGCCCCCTGCCCTTTTGAAAGCGCCTCTGTGGCCGACAGCTGGGCCAGAGCTTGGCCAAGCTATCGGGCCAGTTGTTCCCCGAGTCGGGTTGGAAAGAATTCGGTGAACGCGTCGGGGAGCAAGAAGAGGAGGATGGGGGAGGATGAGGAAAAAGGAGGAGGAGGAGGAGGGGCACTCTTGGGGCCTCCTGGGAGCTTCCTGGGGGCCTCATGAAGGGTTTGGGGGGGCCTTTGGGGGCTTCTTGGGGGCCTCTTTGGCCGTCTTAGGGCGTTCCTTGCTTGTCTGACGCCGTCGGAAGCCGTCTTGGGGGCCTGTCTGGGTCGTCTTGGGGCCCTCTTGGGGTAGATCAGGGGTTCTTAGAGGCCATCTTCGGCGTCTTGGAGGCCTCTTGGGCGGCCCTCTTGGGGCTGCTTGAGGCGTTATGGGCCGTCATGGGGCCATCTTGGAGGCCTCTTGAGCGATTTTGGGGGCCTCTTGCGCCGTTTTGAGCCGTCGGAATGCCGAGAAGAAGCAAATGTCAAAATTTGTCAAAAACCTATGGAAAATCAATGAGATTGGCCTCTTCGTGCCCTCCTAGACGCCTTTTGGGCCGTCTTGGAGGCCTCTTGGGGGCCTCTTGGGCCGTCTTGGGCCATCTTGAGGCCATCTTAGGCCGTCGTGGGTGCATCTTGGGCTTAGGCCCTCTTGGGGCCGTCTTGGGGGTCTCTTGGGCCGTCATGGGGCCATCTCGGAGGCGCCGTGGGCAGTCTTGGGGGCCGTCTTGGGCCGTCGGAATGTCGAAAAGAAGCAAATGCCAAATTCCTGCAAAGACCTGGGGAAAATCAATGATTTTGGCCTCTCAGGGCCCTCCTGGAGGACCTCTTGGAGGCCTCTTGGGCCGTCTTGGAGGCCTCTTGGGGGCCTCTTGGGCCGTCTTGGAGGCCATCTGGAAGCCATCTCAGGCCGTCTTGGGTGCATCTTGGGCCGTCTTGAAGGCATTTTGGGGCCATCTTAGCCGTCTTGGAGGCCGTCTTGGAGGCCTTTTGGATGCCTCTTGGGGCCCTCTTGGAGCCGTATTGGGGGCCTCTTGGGCCGTCATGGGGCCATTTTGGAGGCCTCGTGGGCGATCTTGGTGCGATCTTGGAGGCCTCTTGGGCCGTATTGGGCCGTCTTGGAGGCTTCTTGGGCGAACTCGGAGATATCTTGGACTCTCTTGGGCCGTCATGAGGCCGTCTTGGACCATCTTGAGCGGACTTGGAGGCCATCCTGGACAATCTTGGAGGCCATCTTGGGCCAACGTGGCCATCTTGAAGGCCATCTTAGATGTCTTGAAGGATGTTTTCCGGATTGAGTTCCTTTCCGGGTGGCCGGCGGGACACGCCGGAGCGCCAGGGGTAGTTCTTTTGGAACAGAACCAAAACCAAAAACGATAGGATTTGGCACGCCAGGCACCCCTCTTGCAAGCAACAGGAGGCGGCGGATCCAGCTGCCTGCGGCAAGTCCCGCTACCGTGCCAGTCCAGCATTCTGGGTGGCGACTGTTCGAGGGGGCACGGGAGGCCGTCACGTGTGACACATCGTGTCTCCAGTCTTGGGAAAGCCGTGATATGGACGATGAGGATTATGAGTACGATGGGGATGATGACGGTGATAGTGTTGATCGATGGTGATGATGGTATTGGTGTTGACGGCGATGATGATCGACGTTCGACAATGGTGATGGTGATGATGATGATGCCGATGATGATGGTGGTGTTGATGGTGATGATGATGGTGATGGTGATGGCGATGATGCTGAGATCGATGATGATGGTGATCATGATTATGCTGTTGATGCTGATGTGGATGCTGATGCTGATGCTGATGGTGCTGCTGCTGCTCATGATGATGATGGTGGTGATGATGATGATGATACTGTTGCTGCTTCTGCTGCTGATGATGATGATGATGCTGATGATGGTGATGTTGATGATGATCGTGGTGGCGGTGAGGATGATGATGGCGGTGAGGAGGAGGAGGAGGAGGAAAAGAAGGAGGAAAAGGAGGAGGAGGGTGGGGAGGATGATGATGATGAATGTGATGATGATGATGATGATGATGATGATGATGATGATGATGATGATGATGATGATGATGGTGGTGAGCATGATGATGTCGATGATGATGGTGGTGATGATGGAGGAGCAGGTGCGCAGGCCTCCTCGTGGCCGCTTCTTGGAGATCGCATCCAACCGGGACCCCCCTGGGGACGGGGGTAGGCCGCGGTGAGATCTTGTCCCTCCCCTCTCCTCCCCGCTTCCTTTCTCTCCTTCCCTTCTCTGCTCCTCCCCTCCCCCTGGTGTTCACAGGGTCGCTGCGGCTCACTCCCCTGGCCAGGGTTCTGGGACGTGATCTTGGTGTTCTTGGCTTGGGCTTTAAGGATTCTTGCAGAGGACGCGGCTGACCCCAACCCCGATAGAGGTACCCCTTTGGGGTTGTTAGGGGAGATGTCATCTCCCCGTACTTATTGAAAGCAATGCGCATTTTGTGAATAAGTGCTAAATATGTTTGAAACCAGTGTTCGTGATTATTGAAACCAGTGCTTACAGTTTTGAACCGATGTTCCCAGTTATTATCCAGTGCTCGCACTTATTGACACCAATGTTCACAGTTGTTGAAACCAGGGTTTACAATTCTTGCACACTGGTCTTCCTCCGGATCTTCGTTGGAGATCGGGGGCAGGAGTGGACAAGCTTCCCAGGAGATTCGACGGCGTGGGCGGTCGGGCCCTCGGGCCTCTCCCTTGCCTCGCGCCCCGAGGGGGCAGGCGGCGCCTCTGGCCCCGGCGAGTCGCATCGAGCACCATTCAGGAGGGAAGTAACACACAGACACAACTAATCGTCGGTTCCTCGAAAATATGGGAAGATATGGGAAGTGGGGGGGAAGACGAGAACCCAGAAAATATAGGAAAATATGAGGATTCCTGCTATTTGTATGTGTGTGTGTGTTTATTCGTGTGTCCCAGGGCCCATTCAACTATCTGTTCCGCGTAGTCGTATGGCGCCCTTGTCGGACCTTCAGAACACACGAGCCGGTCGCACAGGTCGTTTGGCTTCGCCTCGGGGTTGGGGGGTAAGAGGGGGAGGGGGGTGGCAGTGAGCATCAATCACGGTGCCCGATGGAGTCAGAGGTTGGGTTGTGTTTGCGTTGGTGACTGCCTCTCGCTGGAGTGGCTTTCCCCTGTGGGCTGTTTGGCGCTTTCGCACCGCTGTTCGTTTTTGTTGTTGTATGATTCTGTGTTGCGCGTTTGCTGTGCCTGCAGCTGCCGGCGGCGTCCCTGTGGCGTCCGTCACGTGTTGATGCAGGCCCCGTGACATCGTGGCCGTTCCGAGGGAAGCGCAGACGGAGACGGAGGTGGTGATGAGGATATTGGTGTTGGTGACGATGGTGACCGCTGTTGGTGATGATGATGGTGGAGATGATGATTGTGGTGATGATGATGTTGCTGATGATGATGATGATGATGATGATGATGAGGGGGATGATGAGCATGGCGATGGTGGTGGTGATGATGATGATGATGGTGCTGATGTTGGTGTTGAGGAGATGATGGTCATGACCATCCTGATGATGGTGATGGTGCTGCGGATGGTGATGTGTATGATAATGCTGAGAGTGATGATGACGATGATGACGGTGATGAGGAGGAGGATGAGGATGATGATGGTGATGATGATGATGATGATGATGGTGATGGCGATGATGGCGATGGTGATGGTGATGGCGATGATGCTGACGATGGTGATGACGATGATGGTGATGATGCTGCTGATGATGATGATGATGATGAGACTCGTTTGGGCCCTCGTGGGCTTGTCTTGGTCTCTCGTTTGACAATTGTAGGGGGTCCCTTAGGGCCCTCTTTTGCGGGCGTTGGGTTCTCTTGGGCCGTCTTGGGGCCCTCTTGGCCGCATGGTGTGTGTTTGTGGGCAGTTGTGGGGCTGTTTGGGCGCCGTCTTTGGCCGTCCAAAGGCCTTCTAAGGCTGTCGTGGACCCCACGGGAGACCGTCTTGGGGCCGTTTCGGATGCTTATTGGGCAATCGTGGAGTCCTCGTGGGTCGTGTTGAGCTGACGGCATCCCGACAAGGCGAGAATATGCAAATCAGTCAAAGATTGATGGGCAAACAATGAGTTTGGTTTCTTCGGGTCCTGTTGGAGGTTCTCTTGTGGCCCTTTTGGGCCCTCTTGGAGGCATCTCGGGCAGTCCTCGAGGCATCTTGGGCCATCTTGACGTCCTTGGTTGCTTGCACGGGCCGTCTGGGAACTTCGGGACGCATATCCATTGCTTTTAGCAAAGGATCGTGGCGTTGGAGGCCCTGGAGCGCCTAGGAGCAACGTCTGGGAATGCGGGACGTGCACGATCCTCGAGCGGGAAGTGCGGGCACGCACGGAATGAGGGTTCAGGCAGTAGCTGACATGCGGGAAGTGCACCATCCTCGAACGGGCACGCGTGGAAGGGGGGTTCAGGCATTAGCTGCCGTGCGGGGAGTGCACAATCCTGGAGCGGGCGCGCTTCGAATGCGGGTTCAGGCCTTAGCTGCCACGCGGGAAGTGCACAATCCTCGAGCGGGCGCGCGTGGAATGGGAGACTAAGCATTAGCTGCCATGCTGGAAGTGCACCAGCCTCGAGCGCGCACGAGGGAATTGGCGTCGGAAAAGAGGGGCGATGCATGCGGCAGTCTGCGGGTAGAGGGAGGTAGGGTACCTCAACGTGATAGGTGGCACGGTGGCGGATGTTTGTTCCAGGGGATCATGGCTGTCGACACCAACATGTGGACGGCATTAGGCGAGAGCACGAGTCTTGCACAAGTTGAGAGGCCATGTGTTTCATAGTATGTTTTCAACCAGCCATCTGCGGGACCGGTCGGTTTCGGGCTCCTTGTCCTCATTGTGGGAGTCTTCTGTCGGTTCGTTTTGTTCACCTCTGTCACAAGCCTCGAGAGACTTGGCTCTCGGGCCGTAAATTGAGCCTCCAGCGGCCTTTCGGGACGACTCTGGCACCCCAATGGCTCACTCGGCGAGTCCCAGCTGATGGAACGCATCCCGAGGCTGGAAGACCTCCGAGGACATCCGAAATCCTCTGGGAACATCCTCCTCCCTCCTTCCCTCCTCACCCCCTCCTCGCTCACATCGTCGGAGGTTGGAAGGTCACTCTGAAGCCCAGCGTAAGTGGTGGCCACGAGACGGCCACGGGCGGCAACGTGGCAAAACCTCGCTGAGTCCACCCAGCGCACGAGGCGGCCATGGGCGGCAACGTGGCGAAACCTCTCGCCAGACCCACCCAATTCTTTCGTGGCATCAGTAAGAACCACTAAGCTCAAGCATTCGGGTCCGTGAGCCTCGCCGAGGCGGCCGTGGCGGCGCAGGCGGCGCGCACGTCAGCGACCACCACCGCCGCCAGCGCCGCGGCAGAGGCGGGAGCCGCCCGGGCGGGGCAGTTCTTTCACCAGTTCTGTTTTGCAGCTTTTGTTTCCAGATCCGGTTCCGTTTGTTCTTTGGTTCCGTCGTTGTTGTTTTTTGGGGTCCCGGTGCTGGTTCCAGCCCAGAAGCAAATCTTCGCGGTTCGCGTGTCCCCACCAGGCTTGTCCTCTTTCGCCCTTTCTTCATCCGTTGCGCTAATATAGGCCGTTGCTTGTCTGCAGTGCCCTGACGCCGCCCGACCTGTTCCTCGCCGCCGTCGCGATCAACCAAGTGTTCCCACCAGGCCATTCGGGAATTTTGCCCATGAGAGTTGACGGGAGGGACGAAGAGACACATGCAGGGTAAACAGAGTAATCTCTGAGAGCAAGGGGATGGTGTTGGAGGGCCTTTTCGGACCATCCTTGGGGCCCGTGTGGGGGCGAGGGAAGGAGGAAGAGGAGGAGGAGGAGGAGGAGGAGCAGGGAGGAGGACCAGTGTAATAAACCCAAGAGTCATCAACGATGTTGGGATAAACCCTCCTTCCAAGCTTCCTCTTCTGAGGCCCCTATAGGGGTTCATTCCCACTGAAGGAACAGCCTCGTTGGGAGAACCGCCTGAAGCGCGCCCCAAAAAACATTCTCGGGACTCCAACGCCACGAATCAATTTGATCGTTGCGTTTTGACGGTCCTGAATCTCGTCAGAACACCAATCCTGAGACCTCAACACCGCGAATCAACGTAACTGCACCCTCACAACCCTTAGTCCTTCCAAGACATTGTTCTGCAAAGTTTGTAGACGAATGTGCGTGGCGGGAAGGCGAGAACTATGATTTGAAAATGACCCGCCCTGAATCCGTGAAACTCTTGCAACTGTTTAAAGTGAAAGCGCGCGGCGCTAAGGCGAGAGCGAATGTCTGAAAACCAGCCGCCCTAATTCCGACAAGCTTTTGCACATGTGTAAGACGAATGTACGCGGCGCTAGGACGAGAGCCACATGTTCAAAACGACCCGCCGTCAACACGTGAAACTCTTGCAAATTCGTTAAACAATGCGCGCGGCGCTGAGGCGAGAGCCAATTTCTGAAAACCACCCGCCCTCCATCTGCGAAACTTGTTTGCCAGTTTCGAAGCTTCAGGGTCACAAATGATGAGGAAGTCTCAGGCGACACGCCTGGCCCGCCCTTTCGACCGGCCTCGGGGTGCGACAGGGAGGAGGAATGGAGGAGGAAGACGACGACGACGACGTTGACGACGACGACGACGTTGACAACGACGACGAGGAAGCGGAGGAAAACGATAAGGAACACGATGAGGGCAAGGAAGAGGAGCAGAGGAGGAGGAGGAGGACAACGAGGACAAAGACAGAGCCCTCAAAATCGCCTCTCGGAGCCCTCTTATGACTCTTTCGGTAGATGCTGGGGTCTTCTTGGGGCTCTTTAGGATGATCTTGGGGCGCTCTTTGGGCTCTGTTAGGGGCTTGTTGGGAGCCCTGGAGGGCCTCCGGTGGCTATCGTGGAGGGCGTCGGTGAAACAAGAGGGCGTCGTAATGTTTGGTACCCCCCCTGGAGCCATCAAAATCGCCTCTTGGGACCCTCTTGAGGCGCTCTTGGGCCGCTCTTGGGTGCTCTTGGGGCCGTCTGGGGGGCCCTCTTGGGCCATCTTGAGGCCGCCTCAGAAGCGCATCGGAAGCGAAAAGGCGAAAGCCAAACATCATAGATTGTCCTCAGGTGTTTGAAGGATTTGGGTTTCTTGGGGGGGTCCTAAGAAAACTCCGAGAGCACTTGGAATCGTCTTGTGGCCCTCGTCGGGCCTCTTGCAGGTATGCCGGAAGCTATCTTGAACCATCGTCGGCTATTTTGAGCCATCGTGAAGCCAAGGTGGGGTTCTTTTTGGGGCTTGTTGGGAGCCTTGGAGGGCCTCTTGGGGCTATCGTGGAGGGCGTCGGTGGCAAGAGAGGGGTCGTAATAATTGGTACCCCTGGAGCCATCAACATTGGCGCTTGATGCGCTCTTGGGCTCTTGGGCGCGCTTGGGGTCGTCTGAGGGACCTCTTGGCCCCCCTTCGGGCCTCTTTTGGACCATCTTGAGGCAACAAAAACACATCGAAAGCGGGCGAGACGTCAAACAACATTGATTTTCCAAAGGTGTTTGAAGGTTGTTGGTCTCGTGGGGGGGGGGCCTGAGGGGGCTCCGAGAACACTTGAAACTTCTTGTGGCCCTCGTCGGGACTCTTGGAGGTATGATGCGTGAAGCTATCTTGAACAACCGTCAGCTGCCTTGAGCTATCTTGGAGGCCATATTGGAGCCATCTGGGGGCTTTGGGGGGGAATTTGGCTTTTTTCTTGGGGGGGGCCTCTTGGAGCCCTCTTGGGGGTCCCTTAGGAGCCTTGGGGGGCATCTTGGGGCCATCTTGAAGGCCATCGATCAAAGGGGAAGGGTTCTCGATTTGCCTCCCCGCCTGGAGCCATCAAAATCACCAGAATGAGCCCAAAACCTTACAACATCAATGATGTTGGCTTTCTCGCGAGGCCATCTTGGGCCATCTTGGGCCGCCCTGACACTCCGCGACACCCCCAGAAAACACAGGAAGAGGTTCTTGGAAGAGGAAAGAAAGATATCGTTAGACCACCTTAGCCCAAAGGGTTGGTGGGATTATTGTTTCCCGTATCGGGGAGCAGTTTTGTCGCCGCTTTCATGTTCCAGAAATAGTTTGTGGGTTCTTGAAATACATACCTTGTGTGTTGTTTTCAGGAACCCCCAACACCCAGTTTCCCGGGCCCACTAAGCCGAAGAAGTTTTTTCCCGGTGGAGCCCAAACGGGGTGGTGACCACACCGTGTGGCGAGTCAATAAAAATTCAAAATCACCACACAATTTTGGGACTCAGGTCGTTCTCCGAGGACGTCTCGAGCGACTGGGGCTTCCGAGGTCCCAAGACCGTGCGGTGACGGACCGTGCGGTGAGGTCTTGGGGGATTTCGAGGTCACCACACGGTCGATCACCGCAACGTTTCGGGACTTCAAATTTTCACTTCACAGAGCTCAAGATGGCATTCGAGATCGCCCCTGAGATACTGGCGTCTAGATGTTCTTCGTTGCGGGCGACGTTGCCTCATTTCGGGCCCTGGGGCCCTCCCGGGTCGATCTGGGTAAACAGAAAACGCAGACAGATGGAGCCCAAGTCCCAGGCCGAGTTTTGGCACGATGTCGTAATTCGTTCGTGACGTCCATATCTTGTTAGAGCAGACTCAAAAAGCTCGACCACAGCCCTCGGCCCCATCTTCCTGCGCCATTTTCGGAGCCAGATCGATACTTGAGGCCCCCAGAGCCCAAAAGACTGCAGAATCGCGAGATGCGTCGTGAAAACACGACGGGAGGTTGTGTTCATTTTCTGCCTCCAGGGGCCGAGGCTCAGGGGTTGTCAAGAAACGGCTCGCTCAGGATGAGAAGCCAGTCCTGGAGAGTGGGCCGAGACGTCGAGACCTCCAGGGTTCGACGTTGTGAAACAAATCATGCCGTCGGGGATCTCAGGGCCCAAGATGGCCTCAGAGAGCTCAAGATGGCACCCAAGATGGCCCCTAAGATCCCGGAGTCTCGATCTTTTCGCTAAGGGCGGTTTTCCTCGTTTCGGGTCCCCGATGCCCTTACGGATCGATCTGGTTCGAAAAAATGACGCAGAAAATTGGGGTCGGGGCTCTGGTCGGATTTGATGAACGGTGTCTCAGTTTGGGCTGAGACGCTGGAACTCAAGGGAATGAGACAGTCGAAGATGTCTCAAGACCCAGACCCCCTCGCCTCACGAAGAGAAGACACGACGGGAGGGGGTTTGACAGTTTCGGCCTCAGGGGGCCCTCGCTGGGCCCCATGACCGTCAAGATACCACTTTGGGGAAAGGGTCGGGACATCCGGGGCCCCGCATTAAAAACGAAACATCGCTTGTCTGGGATAAGAGAATGGAGGATGACGGTGTCCCAAACAATTCATGTCTTGGCCATCCCATGGCCCAAGGTGGCTTCCAATATGCCCCCACAGGCCCACACTTCCAAGGTGGCCTCGAGTAGCCGCGTTCCAGACTTGAGAACTTGCCGTCCCAGGGACGCAGTCCCAGAGCTCCGATTCCAGATCTTCGACGATACCATTCTACATGTCCGGGTGCCGCTAGAGGAGGAAGAGGAGGAGGAGAAGGGGGAAGAGAAGGAGGAGGAGGAGGAGGAGGAGGTGGAGGAGGAGAGAGGAGGTGTGCCCCTGGCCCAAGGTGCGAGGCCACCACGGCCTCCAGAGCACCCTCACGAGGCCCAGAGGGCCCCAGCGGCTCAAAAATGGGCCAGGGGCACACCTCTCTCTCCTCCTCCACCTCCTCCTCCTCCTCGTTTTCCTCCTTCTCCTCCTCCTCCTCCTCCTTCTCCTCCTCCTCCTCTAGCTGGGGGGCGCCTTGGGCCAGGGGCACCTGCAGCAACCCCCGACAAGAGTTTCGCTTTCGGCCTTGGGGTGCCTGTTCCAGGTCCGGGGGCCCGACGCCCCCAAACCTCGGGCCGGGAGGGCGCGCAAGTTCCACCGCATTTGTTCCATGCTCCAGAGCGTCCTCCCACTGAACATTGACGGTTTAAGTGGGCAGGTTGGGAGTAGTTAATGGGTGCGTGGGTGGGGGTGGTTGGGTGAATACGGGCCATGCGCAGACGAGGGTAGGGGGAGGGGGGAGGTTGCTTCTTAGAAGGCTCGGTGGATTTAAGGCTCGCGCCTTCTGAGAAGCAGCCTCCTCGCCGCCCAAGGTAGTCAGATCTGTGCTTTCTCTTCCGCTGGCGTGCTTCCCTGGTTCCCGGGCCCTGGGACCATCCACAACGGATCCGGGACGACCCCGCGGGGAGGCGGCCAGGGCCTCCTGGCATCAGCGGGTGTCGAGGGGTCCCAGAGCTTAGACGGTGTCGGGATGTTCCTTACATGTTGTCGCGGGCTCTCGAAAGAATTTTACGTTGAAGTGTGAAGTCGGGTCTGTCCCTCAACAGGGGGAATATTCAAAT